TATATATATATAATTTTCGTAGTATATATCACACATACCTCCTAAATTCTTCTTTTGTAGTATTTTATACATTTGTCTGTGTTGTACTTTCAGTGAATTACTCAGAGATGTCTTTCAATTTGCTAATTCTTTTTTTCACCATGTCCACCTCAGAATTTATTTACTTTGTTTTTCTTTCTGAGAATTCTAATTCATTCTTTTTCCTCATAGCCACTTCTATTGTTTCATTTCTACTTAATGTATTGTACATGGTATAGATGCTATTTCTTATTTTGTATATCTGATGATCATATCATGCTTATTTTGAAGGCATCTTGAGTGACTCCATTTACTTTTTAAAAGTTATTTTGTCGAGAGTCTTTTTTTGTTTGTTTTTGGTACTGGGGATTGAACTTGGGACCTTGTGCTTGCAAGGCAGATGCAGGAACCACTGAGCTAAATCCCTGTCTCTTGTTGGAAGCCTTTTATTTTTTTCTTCTATGTCTTGGAATTTTGGTTTTCTAAATCAACCTGTGTGAGAGGCCATGTTAGAATTCTTGCTAGCACCTGTACCCAGTCTTACTGTCTTAGACTTGACCCTACACCTTCTCTGTCCCCAGTCTAGAACCTATGATAATGAGTATATCATAAATGTTGTTGATAAGTCAAAAGACAGTTTGGCTCCAATTCTGACTATGAGACTGTGACTGTTTGTGTTGACTTCCTTTAGAAACAGCTCTGTGTGGTTATACTCCCTGTGGGACAAGTGTACCAGCTTAATTACCTTGAAGATATGAGGAATTGCTTGCTTCTTATTCAAGAGACCAGTGGTGCTCTGACTCATTTAGTGTTTATATTCAATCTATGGTGTGTTTATCTTGTTTAAATTTAGCTCTTTCTTTTTACATTATGTCTTTGTAAATGTATCTGTTATTACAATGTATTGGAAGGGAAGGCAAAGGGCTCAAACAATATTCTTGCAATGGTATCTTGAAAAGAGTTCCCCAAAGTATGTACTTGGGAATCAGAAAGCATGATTTCAAAATTGAGACCTACTCATCAACTGGGTCACCTTCAGTAAGGCCTTTTATCTCTCAAGAGCCTCAATTTCTTCCCTTGAAAAATATTGATATCAATACCTATCTTATATTACTGTTGTAAGCATTAAATGGGGGAAATGTGCATAAAGCATTTAGTCCTGTGCTTAACCATAGTAGGTGTGTACATTCTAAAGATGGGAGAAAAACAACTAAAACTGAAACAAAACTGTCACTTACATAACAAATAAATCATTATTGGAGTATCAAATAGCCTCAAAGTAATGTTGCAATTTTGATATTTTAAAAAGTTTCTGAAGATGAATGTCAGATGCACTAGCTTGCATGTCTAACAGGTGGGTCAGTGTTCTGTAATACTATCCATGTTCTTTAGTAAGCATAAGTGCAAATAATATAGAAAGAATCTCAGTAAAACTGGAAGAATTCTTTCAAATGACCCTAAAGGCATAGCTATTTTAATTCCATGTAGTTCAAGAGGAGTAGAAAAGATAACTGTCATGAAAACATGCTTTTTTCTTGATTAACAGTAATCCATATTATACAGTGATGGGCTTCTGTAATAGTAAAAAGTGGATAATGGTGCCTTTTGTGTTTCAGATAGTCTTGTTTAGCTCATTTGTAATACTAAGGCCTTTTTTTTTTTTTTTTTTTTTTCCAGGGATCAAACTTGGGACCTTGCACTTGTGAGGCAGGCAGCGGAACCACTGAGTTAAATCCCGGCCCTACTAATTTTTCTGGTATGTTAAAGGTAACATGATTCTTTTCCTCTTGTGGATTTGCGACCATTTAAAATTTCAGGTGAAATTTTATTCATGAGGGTGGGGTGATTGAGACAGGGTCTTATTCTGTAGTTCAGGATAGCCTTGAACTCACTGTGTAGCCCAGGCTGGCCTCAAACTTGCAGTGATCCGCCTGCCTCAGCCTCCTGAGTGCTGGTATTATAGGCACGCATCACCACACCCAGCTCAGGTGAAATTTTAGCAGCTATCAAATTAGTTTTGATTTAACTTTTTTTTTTTGATACTAGGTATCAAACTCAGGACCTTCACTTGCAAGGCAGGCACAGCACCACTAAGCTAAATCCCCAGCCCTTTAACTTTTTTAAGAAAAAAAAATTTATTTTTTCAGTAAAACAATTGTGATCAGAGAAAGATGTGTTCAGTGGTATACAAAATTCAAGAAGAATGATGTCTGACTAAAATGACAAGTATATGAGCATTTAGTGGTGTTCCTGGGTTTTTGAGGACAAAAAAAGTAAAATATTTCAAATTTTTTATAAACTTATGAAATTATTTTGGCATAATACTCTTCACTAGTTATTACATTTATCTGATTACATGGTTGGCAAAATCTTGAGAATTTTACTGTAATTCCAGTTTTTTGTTTGTTTGATTTTTGGTGCTGGAGATTGAACCCAGGGCCTCATGCATGCTAAGCACGCAGTCTACCACTGAATTACATTTCCATCCCCTCAGATCTTTTGAATGATTCAAGTGCATACATTTGATGGAGCACACTTTTCAACTTTTGAATCAGTAGACATTAATACTAAGCAATAGATTTATACTGAGATACTAACCAGGCAGGATGGTGCACACCTGTAGTCCCAGCACTCTGGGAAGCTGAGGCAGGAGAATCATAAATTCAGTCCTAGCCTGGGCAATTTAGTTGACTATGAAATCCTGGCTCACAAAAGAGCTGAGGATATAGCTCAGTGTGAAGGCCTTGAGTTAAATCCCTAGTACAAGAAAAAAAAGATACTAAAATACTAAGATTTTGCTGGGTGTGGTAATGCATGCCTGTAATCCCAGCACTTGGGAGGCTGAGCCAGGAGAACTGCCAAGAGTTTGAGGCCAGCCTGTGGCACATAGTGAGTTCAAGTTCAGCCTGAACTACATAGTGAGGCCCTGTCTCAAAAAAACCCTAAAATTGGGCCAGGGTTTAGCTCGGTGCCACCACCTGCCTCAAAAGCGCAAGGTCCAGAGTTTGATCCCCGGTACCCCCCCCAAAAAAAACTAAAATTTTGTCAAAATTTAATTTTAAATATGAATAGAGAAAAAATTTTAATTTCTAAAAGTGATGATACAGCTACTGTAATTGTTCCAAATCAGTGTGACTTGATTTTATTTTTCCAGCACCAATAACCAGTTCTCCATTCTCGACTGTCAACTGTACATCTATCAGTTCAGTTCCTTTCTGACACGATGTAGGGTTGGCCTAGACCCCCACAGAGTAAGGGCTCAGTCTCCTAGGACTGTTACTACCTTATATGCCAGGAGCAAATAAGCCCAAGATACCCATGATGCTGCTAACCAACTCCTGTCTGAACTTGGGAGTCCCATGTCATCCACTCAACGTTCAGTCATTCTCTAGAATGACTCACAGAACTCAGGAAAGTGGGGTAATTGCTATTACTCTTTCATGATAAAGGATACACCTCAGGAACAGCCACATGGAAGATACAGAGGGCAAGGGATAGGCCTGTGGATGGTACCAAATTTCCTCCCACTCAGCAGTGTGTCCGCCCACCGGAAACCACTGGAATTACCCAACCTTCAACCTCTACCCTCGTTGAAGTTTATGGGGCAGGGCTGAAAGTTCCAACCCAGTCACTTGTTCTCATTAGTTTACATAAGACAGTAAATTCCAGAGGTTTGAGCAGTTCTGTTCCAGGAATAGGGACAAAGACCAGATTTTTAAAAACTTATTTAACCACACTTACCTTAGAACTGAGCATAAATGCAATGACAGTTTTATTAAGCATCAGTGTAAGTTGTCTAGGCTTAACAGGAAGTGTTATTAACAAAAACTTTGACAGATAAGAACACTGAGTGGGAGAATGTTGAAAATATGAACTATACCTAACCCTAAGGTATATACCCAGTCCACTCTGACTTTTTTTGCTTTCATTAACTTTGCATATACCTTACTATATATATACCAGGGACTATGATGAACAGTTTACACGTAGCTCACTCATTACACATTAGCTTCTTTAGTTAATTAAATAAATAATATTATTTTGCGGATGTGGGGAGAGGTTAAGTGACTGTCCAAGGTCACACTCAGCTAGTAAGTGGCATTTGGGCTCCCAAGTTCCTGATCTGGACTATATTCTGTGTTGTCTTTTTGGAAGACTTGTTAAGCCTTTTAAAATAAAGATTCTATAATTCAGAGGACTTCCTAAATGCTGATTGGGAAAATGTGGATCTACCTTTCTTAAAGTCTTTGTAGTATTAAAGTTGTTAATCTACACGAGACAAAACAATAGGAAAAATGTAAAAGAATCTTTTGAATTCAATACGATTTACCCAAACAGGAAGCCAAACATGACCCTCAGGCTCCGGGTCATTCTGCCCAAAACTTCAAACCATGCCTGCTTGTTATTACTAATGAACTGTCGTGGTAATTTGTGGTGATGTTGTGTTTTTGTTTTTTACTGGTAAAGTAATGTAATTTCACTTTAGACAGTTTGGGGGGATACACTTCTACTTCCATAGCCCACACTCAAACACAACCTCTTTTATCACTTTGGGAGCTCATTCTTAGAGTTACTCACCAAGGTAAATGAAGAGCTCCGATACTTTCATTTTAAAACTTGAAACCCCAGATGTAGGTCTGCTGCTTTATCACAAGAGGGCTCCAGTAGACAGGATAGTTTGTTCCCCACTAAAGAGCAATGGATGCTCTTGGAGATGTACTAATTTTAGTTTCCTGGCCCATTTTAAAGACACCATACACTTTAATATTTCATTAAACATACCTACGAAGAGTTACTTTCCTGCCTCTTTAAA